AAGATCTTCTCGGACAACGAATCGAGAGAGTCTCTTCCCTCCACAGATGGTAACTCCACCGTGGACTCCGGGGAACCTCCATCTCAAACTTTCTCAGATGATGCTGATGAGAAGTCTTCGACTCAACCAACCGACCCAACTGAACCTAGCGAGGAAGGTGCCTCGGAGACGACCAAGAACGAAGGCGATCCAGAGAATGAGCCTGAAGAGCTCAAAGAAAAGGAGCCAATTCCAGAACCGGAGCCATCCCAAGAGCAAGAGTCTGGACCCGGTTTGAAAGACAAGCCTGCTACCGGAGACGAGAATCCTGAGTCCTCAGAGACGAGCAAAATTGGTACACCGGCTGAATCCGTACTGGAAAGAGTCGAGCCTCTGGATCTGGCTACTCCAAGCTCGCCAAAGGGGAAGAATCCTTTCTCTTTTGCTGCCATTGATGAAGCTGGAGAGACCTCGAGTGATTCGGGTGCTATCGAGCCAACTTCACCAACTACCAGACCTCCACTCACTACGACCTCCACAGGGATTTCTCTTTCAGAAAAAGTCGAGCAGCTTCGACGTGAGCAACAGGTCATGGGTAACGAAACGCCCTTGGCCAACGAGCCCGCCGAGGCACCAAAAGCAAATCCGGAGCGTACTTTGGCTCGCAGGGCTCCGATGATTAGAACTCTATCTCAGCCCGCCCAAACGCTACCAAGATCGCAGTCAAGCTTTGCCAAGTCAATCTTGCCAAAGGATGGCGCAGGGCCCAGCGAGAATTCCAGCGAGACATCCTTCAAAGTGGAAAAGAAACCGTTTGATCGGCTGGCGTTGGGGATGAAGAGCCATAGAAAGGCCGGCCCCTCCTCAATCCCTCGGCTAATCACGAAGAAGAAGGATACGCACGTGTCGTCTCAGGTATCTAGGATTGCCAAGCACTTTGAACAACTGAGTCGCGAATTCGAGAAGGAAAGGCAAAGGGAAGATCGCAGAAAGCGCCTAGCTAAACATCAACCTCGTGCCGGTCTGCCACGCTCAGCAACTAAGGCCATTGTGGAGGTCTATCACAACATTGACAATGCCGTCCAGGAGGCCGGGCCGTCAAACACTGAACAAAACAATGAGATCAAGATTCTCGAGCCAAAGACTGCACCCGTAACCCCAGCACCTCCAGGTGTTGTGCATACGGAACCCGACACAATGCCGCCTACGGGAGAGCCACAGCCTGTAACAGAAGCTCCGGCCGCATCTGAAGAGCACCACGTTGGCGGAGAGACTGACGACACTGCGACGGTTACTGCCAGCCACGGTGGATCGGACGACGAAGGGCAAAGCGACAACGAAGAATCCATACTAGGCGACTTGCTGCCCGATGTGAAGGAGCTTGCAGACTCACTTGAGCCCAGCACCGAGATTCCGTTGGAACTACCCAAGCATCAAAAGACTAGCTTGATGAAGATGCTTACAAACTTCTGGGCCGAGCGATCTGCGAGTGGCTGGCCTCAGTTGGATTACCCGGTCAATGCCAGCGACCATATTTTCCTCGACTCGGACGTGATTGTACGAGAGGACGAGCCTTCCTCCGTTATTGCCTTTGCGCTAAGCTCTGATGACTATCGCACGAAGCTGGCTGATATCCGCCGTCAAGAGCGGATGGCCATACAAAAGGACTATGAGACATCAAATCTCGAGGGCAAGTCTTCTGGTATGTCTGACACTGGTGGTGAGTTCATGATGGAAGAGGGCGACCTAGAGAAGAGTCTGCTCAGAGCCACGGGTACCCATCTCAAGTATCAATTCAAGGAAGGTTCTGCGACAATGCTCTGCAAGATCTTCTATGCCGAGCAATTCGATGCGCTTCGCCGGAAGTGCGGTGTTGCAGATCGCATTGTCGAGTCTCTTTCCCGCTGCCTGAAGTGGGACTCGAAGGGCGGGAAAACGAAGTCGGTCTTTCTCAAGACTCTGGATGATCGACTGGTACTCAAGGTAAGACGGTGCTCCATTCACTGTGTTCCCATACTCCAGATCATGACTTAACGTACATGCAGGGCTTGTCGCCGATTGAGACGTCGGCTTTCCTTCGATTCGCTCCAGCCTACTTCGGCATCATGGCAGAGGCTCTGTTCCATGATTTGCCTTCTGTCATTGCCAAGATGCTAGGTTTCTTCCAACTGATTATCAAAAACCCAGTCACCGGCGTTGAGATCAAGCTAGACCTTCTTTTGATGGAGAATCTCTTCTACGATCGTGGCCCGACCCGTCTTTTCGACTTGAAGGGATCAATGCGCAATCGCAAAATCCAGTCCACAGGCGAGCAGAACGAGGTGCTTCTTGACGAGAACATGGTTGAATTTATCTACGAATCTCCTTTGTTCGCGCGCGAGCATTCCAAGAAGCTTCTGAGAGCATCCGTAAGTTCCCGAACAAGGCATTAGAAGCCGCATACTAACAAAAGGGCAGGTCTGGAACGACACCCTGTTCCTCGCAAGGCAGAACGTGATGGACTACTCATTGATGATCGCTGTGGACGAAGCTAAGAAGGAGTTGGTTGTTGGTATCATTGACTGTATCCGGACGTACACATGGGACAAGAAACTCGAGAGTTGGATCAAAGATCGAGGATTTGCTGGCGGTGGCAGAAATCGCCCGACAGTGACCAGTCCGAAGGAATACAAGTCTCGTTTCCGGGAGGCGATGGCCAGGTATGTTCTTGACAGATATCTTCGACAGGCTTCTCCCGGTCATCGGCTAATACGCTATGCAGATATATACTCCAAGCACCAAATTGCTGGCATCAGTTCGGCGTGCCTCAACTCAACAACAGCATGAGGCCACGGTTCGAATCAGATGCAAAGGCCGATTGAACCTCCGGCCAACCATGAACATTACCTGCCAATGGTTACTCGACTGTAATTAATTGAACTTTTGTAGCACAGAGAGAGAGAGAGAGAGAGAGAGAGAAGAGAGCATTGCATTGCCGGCGTTTTCCTTCAACAAGGATGAATGGATTGATGATTATGGAGGTATTCTAGTCTTAGGGAGTGGACGGAAGTATTAGAGTCCGCAAAAAGAAATGACCTAAAGTAGCATTATGGCGTCGATGAATCACGGCCTTCACAATACGAATACCCTCTAATGGCACATAAACGAATGATGAAGCCCCCCACGATAATTGAGCAGGCGTGGTGAGAGATCTATCAGGCAGTAAGGCCATGAGCATTGCCTCATGTTATCCACGGGTTCAAGTACGCCTGTGGAAACGAGCAACTCGGTCCACCAGAAAGCCAATTTAGCGCAACATGCTGCCGTTACCACCCCACCAAGCCCGTGCCTTGCCACCTGGAGGTCACTGAGCCCCAGCACTAGGTAGACAATGGCTTTAGAGAATCTACAGTGGAGGGTAAGGTATCCATCATCGACCCTGTGTGCACACTGCCTTGCGCACCTCACCTGAGTTCACTACCTCGTTTGATCAACAACTCAGTCCTCACTTATCTTTCCTCTTGTCACACAAGACCACAGCTCTAATGTCAATAGACCTCAACTGGGAGACGCTCACGACGGGCCCCGACGGAGAGGCTCTCGCCCTCCGCATCCGTGACTTCATTCACACCAAATTCCAGGCTGTGCCGTTGCCGCGCTTCATCAAGTCAGTCAAAGTACACGACTTTGAGTTCGGTACCATCGCCCCCGAACTAGAACTTAAGGACATCACCGACCCGCTACCAGAATTCTACGAGGAAAACTCCGACATTGAGGATGACGAGGAAGAGGAGCAGGCCATCCTCGAGGAGCAGGCACAGCAACAGCAGCATGGGCCCAGGAGTCAGCTGAGCGCCGGCGAGAGGAGGAGGCAGAGGGAGGAGGCGTCGATGCCGCCGAGGCTGAGCACGCACGCGCTCCGTGGCCAGTCTGGGGACTTCCCCAGCCCGTTTCTGGGTGTATCGACGCCGGGGATTCTCGGCGGGACGTCGAACCTGCATTATTTCCAGTCGCACCTGGGCACCGGCTGGTCGGGCACGCAGACGCCCCTCGCCGCGGTGGCGGGCGCGCACATGGGCAACAGGCTGGACACCTCGGCCGTGCTTTCGCCTGTCGGCTCGCCGCCACCTAACGGATTTTCCTCGCCGAGCCACAGCCGGAACCCCTCGCAGAGTTCCATCTCCGTAAGCGACTTCAACCCGGCGCTGGCGCAGCTAAGAGAAAAGTCGAGTGTGTCGACGCTGGCGCCCACGTCGGCGGGTGCGTCGAGGCCGCCGACGCGGGACACACACCTCGCGGGGTCGGCGATCCAGGAGGAGGACGAGGAGGTACTGCCAGAAGACGAAGACGACAGCAACAACAACGCGCCGCGGTTCCGGGAGCCGAGGCCCGAGGACCTGCAGGCCGTGTTCCGCATACGGTACGCCGGCGACGTGAGGCTGCGCCTGACGGCGGAGATTTTGCTCGACTACCCGATGCCGAGCTTCGTAGGGATCCCCGTGCAGCTCAGCGTCACGGGCCTCACGTTTGACGGCGTCGGCGTGATGGCGCATATCCGGAAGAGGGTGCAATTTTGCTTCCTGAGCCCCGAGGACGCGGTCACGGCCGTGGGCGCGGACGACGCGGGCCCCAGCGAGCCGGGCAAGAGGTTCGGCGGCTTGCTGCAGGAGATCCAGGTCGAGAGCGAGATTGGCCTCCGGGACGGGGGCAAGCAAAGCTTGAAGAATGTGGGCAAGGTAGAGAGGTTTGTGCTGGAGCAGGTGAGGCGGATATTCGAGAATGAGTTTGTGTATCCCAGCTTCTGGACATTCTTGGTTTAGGAAGATGAATGGGTTTGGATGGGGCGGGGTGGTTGATCGACCTGGCGTTCTTCACGAGGTATGACATGCATTCTTCATAGGCACAAGGGAAAAAAGTAAAACGGCTGGTTAAAAGTCAAGAGCTGGTGGGATTCGCTCTGCATTGGTATCCATCAACAAGGAAGAACAGGATATTCCTCTCAACATACACTTCTCCTCTCTCGAAACCTTCCACCTTTTTGTTTACGTGAGAGTACTCTTGAACCCCTGGTAAGCCTGCTGAATGTCCATCTCGAGCTCGCGAGCCTGCTGCTCGCTCAGCTCGTCCGTGGCCTTCATCTGATTCAGCGTGATGAGCCACTGCACAATCTTGCCCCTGCTGTCAAAGTCGCGGTCGGTGACCTTGTTGACGGACTGGATGACGTCGGAGAGCAAGGGGTGCAGCTGATCCTTGGAGAGCAGGCCCAGCTTGACGGCGTCGAGGAAGGTGATGAACTCCTGCGTCGCTTCCAGAATGAGCGTGCCGCTCGTATTACCGGCGGCCGTGGGAGCCGGAGCAGCGCTTGATGAGGCTGTCACGGTTGTCGAGGGCATGCCGACGCGGATGCGCTCTGTTGCGCGAGGGACTTCGAGCTGTTGTAGGAAGTGGGCGACATGGTCAGCAACGTGTGCGATACTGGCTGGTATAGAGAAGTGGTAGACGAACATCCCATTCTGCCTTGAATTCCTCCAAGCCCACAAAGGCTTTTGCCACGGTCTCGTCTGCTAAGATGGACTTGTACTGCTTCAGGGAGCGCTCGCAGATCTCGGTGTAATCGGCCTCAAGGATCGCATCTTTCAGGAAAGCCTTCTCGAGCTCGTCGAGAGTGACAATAATGCTAAAGATTTCGGCGAGCGAGTCTTGCAGGTCGCGCTCGGCGCGTGTGTCGGCTAGCTTCACCTCCTGTTGTGACGCATCGTCATGTTAGATGGATGTTTGCCTGCGGGGGCGGGGCAGTTATTGGAGGGGATGACGGTGACGGTGATTGGGCTTAATTAACTTGCCTCATCGAGATTGATGGTTGCCGATAGCGTGGTATTGGGAATATAGCTATGCGGTGTCGGCGCATAGGGTTGCCGGGGGATCATCTTCGCAGCTGTGCTTGGATCGTGGTCGGCTTCATGGTCGTCAGACAGCTTTTGAGCTGTCGTTGGAGCTCACAGGTAGCAAGTGGTGGTGCAGACAGGTGTGTCGCAGAGCCACAGTCAAGGACGTAAGACACGGGTGTGCAGGTTCCCAGGCCCAAGGTAGAACGTGGGGCAACCTTTGAGGAACCAGTACCAAAGGTGGCTTAGCGCGGTTTTCTGATAAGATAAGCGTTCAGAAAAAATTTGGACGGACGCCATGCAGTTGCTGCCATTGAGAAAGTCTCGAGGTTCCCGCGTCCATTTCCCAGAGTCCCTGCAGTCCAAACTTCACTTTTACCCCCCCAAACCACAGGACCGAATAACCCCGGCTCCATACTCCATCATGGGTTCTCAGAAGAAGAACCTCAAGGCGACCAAGAAGTTTGAAAAGAACAAGCTTAAGGGTGTCTTGGACAAGAGGAAGGAGACGGCGAAGATCAAGCAGCGCCACCAGGTCAAGGCCAAGAAGGCGACCAAGAAGACCAAGGATTCCGAATTCTTCAAGAATGACGAGGCCGCTGCCAAGGCAAAGGCCAATGGCCACAAGAAGGACACCAAGGTCAGCGCCATGAGTGTCGACGACTTCTTCCAGGGCGGCTTCGAGGAAATCATCGACAAGAAGGACAAGAATGCGACAAAGAAGCTCGGCAAGAGGAAGCGCGATGGGCCCGCCAAGCAGTCAGAGGAAGAGGACTCTGAGGAGGAGGGCAGCGGCTCGGAATTCTCCGTCGAGGAGGAGCCCATTGGAAGCGACAGCGAAGACGGTGAGGGCGATGAGGACGACGAGAACCTTGGCATGACCAAGGAAGCCATGGACAAGCTCGCCCAGAACGACCCCGAATTCTACAAGTTCCTTAAGGAAAACGACCCGGAGGCCCTCGACTTTGACGAGAACGCAGACCTTGCTGAAGTAGACGAGCTCAGCGCCGGCAGCGATCAGTCCGACGATGACGAGGAGGAACAACCGAAGAAGAAGCGCAAGAAGGCTTCCAAAAAGGCCGAGATCGAGGAGGTCGTCGCTGCGGACAATGAGCTGACGCGCGAGATGGTGGGCAAGTGGAAGAAGCTTCTCGCTGAGAAGCAGAGCTTGCGTGCTGCCCGTCAGGTTGTCCTGGCTTTCCGCTGCGCCGCCCATCTCAACGAGGACGACGCCGACGACTCGACCCCCCAGAGATACACCATCTCCAGCCCCGAGGTCTTCCACGACATCTTGATCGTTGCCTTGAAGCAAATACCCGAGATTATCTCGCACCACTTGCCCATCAAGGAGTCTGCGTCTGGCAAGATCTACGTGCCTACCGATTCGAAAAAGTTCCACACCCTGTCCATCATGATCAAGACCTTCACTGCGTCCATTATTCACCTTCTCGGCACACTGTCCGACGATGCTACTCTCAAGCTCACCATTGGCTCATTAGAGCCCCTCGTCCCCTACCTCATGTCCTTCCGCAAGCTTCTCAAGGCTCTCATCAAGACTGTTGTCAACTACTGGGCCAGACCCGCCAGTTCAGAAACGACAAAGATCACTTCCTTCCTGGTCCTGCGGAAACTCGTCGTTATCGGCGACAAGGGCCTTCGCGAGACTGTTCTCAAGACGGTGTACCAGGGACTCGTCTCCGGTTGCAGGACAACAAACGCCAACACCATCCAGGGCATCAACCTGTTGAAGAACTCCGCTGCTGAGCTTTGGGGTATTGACCAAAACGTCGGTTACACCACGGCCTTCACCTTTATCCGCCAACTCGCCATTCACCTCAGAAATAGCATCGTCAAGAAGGAGAAGGACGCCCATAAGATCATCTACAACTGGCAATACACCCACTCGCTCGACTTCTGGTCATGCGTGCTTGCCGAGCACTGCAGCCCCCTGAAGGAGGCGGAGACTGGCAAGGAGGGACAGCTCAAGCTCCTGATCTATCCCCTTGTGCAAGTGACTCTGGGAGCGATGCGCCTTATCCCCTCGCCGACTTTCTTCCCCCTGCGGTTCCACCTCATCCGCTCCATCCTTCGTCTTTCCCGCGCTACCAACACTTACATTCCTCTCGCTTCAGCTCTGATTGAGGTTCTCGAGTCTGCCGACATGAGAAGGTTCCCCAAGGCCTCGTCCATCAAGCCCCTCGACTTCCATGTTGCCTACAAGGCACCCAAGTCATACCTCCGCACGCGTGTTTACCAGGACGGTGTCGCCGAGCAGGTCGTTGAGCTCTTAAGCGAATACTTCACCATCTGGTGCAAGAACATTGCCTTCCCCGAGTTCACCCTTCCCGTTCTCATTCAGCTGAAGCGCTGGCTCAAGGGAGCGCGCAAGATTAAGACGGGCAACAAGAACAACAAGGTCATTTCGCAGATTGTGCTACTGGTGCAGAAGCTCGAGACCAACGCCAAGTTCATCGAGGAGAAGCGTGCGAAGGTGGAGTTCGCGCCTAAGGATCGCGCGCAGGTGGATGCCTTCCTTCGCGACTTTGAGTGGGAGAAGACGCCCCTCGGCGCATACGTTGTCGTGCAGCGCAAGATTAGAGAGCAGAAAGCCAAGGCGCTCGAGGACGCGAGGAAAGAGGACGAGAAGAAGCGTAAGCAGGAGGAAAAGGATGCGGTTGCGGAGAACGCCGCAGAAGACGACTCTGAGGAGGAATACGCCGACGAGTTGATGGACGACGAGGCCGAGGATGACGATGAGATCGAGGAGGATGAGGAGGAAGAGGATGAAGATGACGATATGGAAGACGACGAGTAGGTTGCGGATTTTGAGGAAGATCTGAGATGCAAAAGTGTTTTTAGGGCGTAATCTAAATACGCTGGTGTTAGGTTATATCATGGAGGCATTTGCGAATAATCCGGAGGCTTGTAGCCCTCAAATCTAGCGTCCTCGTTGCACCACTCTGCGTCTCCTATATTGAATACTGCTGTCTACTATTACAATCATGTCTCATACACTTGGCCATCGCTGGTCTAGACTGAGAGAGAATCGGCCTGCTTGCAAGCCGTTTGCAGATGAAATATACCCTGGGAAGATTTACACATGGATGATGCAAGGATGGAGACTGGAAATTAGCACGGACCGGACACTGAGACCGCCTTTTGCTGGGGAAGGATTTGGGGGCTTCCATCAACACCTAAACTCCGGTAAGATGTGCAATTGTAGGGAATCTCTGTGCGGCGGCACAGGCAGCTGAGAGTCCCTGTTGATCTTTCCGATAGATGTCTGCCTAACTTCAGATCAACCCGACACCTAATGCACATTCTCCTCACCTCAGGTGACTCGACTACATCTCTTCTCACGTGTTCTTGGTTTTACATCTTACCCGCCTCTTACCTCGACTTGTTATTCCTCAAGATTGTTGTTCGATACCGAAGCACACCTCTCTTATCCGGTCACCTCCCCATCAATAAGTCTCATTGGATGCGGTGAGCCCATCGCAATCATGGCTCCCCTGGCCGCAGACCCCCGCCAGCTCGTGGTGGTCCTTAACCCGGCTCGCCGCAAAGCGTTCTATACCCTCCTCTTCGATATCACGGGCTACATGCGCTCGCAGCTCGAGCTCAAAGACGGCGACGACCAAGCAGCAGATTCCAGCGGCAATCCGGCATCGCCGTCACTCCAGGACAGGAACGCCCCGCTCTTCGTCCCGGACCGCGGCGACGGACGCAGCAGCAGCCCCAGCCACCCGGACCGCGGCGGTTCCGGCGTGCATAGCGCTCAGCTGCGGGCCCTGAGGAGGGCGGCGCTCAAGCACTTTGACGGGTGGCGGAAGGAGGTCCTCGAGAAGGTCAAGGAAATTGTCTCGGTTAAGGACGATGACAGGATCCTCGAGGCCAGGAAGAAGCGCTTAGATGAGCAGGAGAAGCTGAACGCAGAGTCTCCCGGCGTCGGAGAGGATTTGATCAACTTTGGAGATGCTTCTCAGACTGCTTCTTCTTCTCCGGCGGCGAACAAGGTCGACGAGGAGGTGGCCGTACTGCAGGAGCATTACCATCCCATTCCGAGCCGGTTCACCACGATCCCGGCGAATGATAGGAAAGAGGTGCTAAGCTGCCTCTTGGTTCTCATCTTGTCTACCGGTTGCTACTCAGCACACTCCAGAGTCTTGGCCCTTTATCTCACGTCCGCCTTCGGTCTGCCTCTCTCGGCCCTCATCGCCGAGGAGACGGAAATCGCAAAGTCTCTGGTTGAATCTGCGACCTCTTCCGAAGGTCAAAAGGCCACCATGTCCGCCGAGGCCGAGGCCGCGAAGCGACGACAAGAGAACCAAAAGAGCCGTTTCTGGAAAGTCGGCCTGGCCTCCGTGGCAGGCGCTGCCGTCATTGGCATCACGGGTGGTCTCGCGGCCCCTGTGGTCGCCGGCGCCATCGGCGGCATCATGGGCAGCGTCGGCCTGGGAGGCGTCGCGAGCTTCCTCGGCATCTTTTGGATGAACGGCGCGCTGGTCGGGACCCTTTTTGGCGCGTTCGGAGCCAAGATGACGGGCGAGATGATGGATACCTACGCCAAGGAGGTGGAAGACTTCCGCTTCCTCCCGCTCAAGGACGAATGGGGCCAGGACTATAAACGCGCTGACCCGGACGGCAAGCAGGGTGCCCGCCTCCGCGTGACGATTGGCATCAACGGCTGGCTAAATGACGAGAGCGACGTGACGAAGCCGTGGCGCAGCTTGGGTGATGAGTCCGAAGTCTTTGCCTTGCGCTACGAGATGAAGTCACTTCTCGCCCTCGGTGCTGAGCTCGAGGGTCTCGTCTCATCGTACGCGTGGAACTATGTAAAGATTGAGATCCTCAAGCGCACTGTCCTTGCTTCGCTCTGGGCTGCTCTGTGGCCCGCCTACCTCATCAGCGCCGCTTCAAAGATTGACAACCCCTTCAACCTGGCCCGCAACCGTTCAGACAAGGCCGGTCGCGTTCTCGCTGATGCTCTCATCGCCAAGGTCCAGGGAGAAAGACCCGTGACTCTGGTCGGATATTCGCTC